ATGACCTTAATGTACCATATGTTTCCGATTTAGCTCAATCCAGATACCTGTCCTTTCATAATAAACTTCTGAACCATCCGAACCCTCTCGTTTCCAACCTTGCTTCCTCTTCTATTCCTGATAACCCTCCGAGGCGTCTAAAAAGAAGATAGCCTCGGGACCTTCTAATATAGAAATATAATTGGAGTGCTACCAATGGGTAGTTTCTCCTCATGTTGTACAGGTCATATTACTTGTTCATATTTACTTGTTGCATTTATTATTAATCACAGTTGTAAATTTCGTTAATAAAAAAAAAAAAAAAATTGTTGATTCCACCTTGTTGATGTTTTTCACTTCCATCGAGTGGATTGAAGTTATATTCATGGGATTCTGCATCTTCACCGAGTTCCTCCAGCTCAAACTATAAATGAACATTACGATGTCCACGTTCTTGGTGAACTAGAAAGAGAGAATAATTTTCTAAGCTTCGAACTCTACCCGTTCCATTTGATTGTGGATACCATTTAATGAAGAGCTAAGGGAAAAGAGAAAGCCGACAGTGGATATATGTTGTGAGAGCTGTGAGGGTGAGGGGAGTGCTGGATATTGGACGGGCGGCCGCCGGCGGGCAGTCGCGGAGACAGCCGACACCGGTTGGCAGTCAGTTTGCTCAGTCCCTTGTTTGCGATATATATTCTTCTTGCCCGGCTCTATGACTCACAGTAGAATTCAAATATTAGGCCATTTCACATGAAATGTCCTTGTTTATTATTTTAGAAATTCAAAGTGAGAATAGTGGCCTTTTATTGTTTATTACAGATTAAAATGAGCCGTTATTAAGCCTCTCATTTTTTATATTTACTACTAATAGGCTCGTGCGAAAAATTTGCACAGCATATTGTTTTCAAATGCCAAATTAATAAGAAAAGAAAATAATGCAACGTATCAAAAGATAAAGAAATCAAATGTTACGTTATCGATAAATGTAATCGGCAAAGGAAACAAAAATTAATATAAATCTTTATTTTTGTTTGGAACCAACATGTTTACAAATTTCAGTAAGCTGTATCTTTGCTAAAAATTGTCCGATTTCGATAATTTTTTTTCCTCTTGCTGGGAATTTAGTAATCTTTTATATAATCATGGGCACAACCAAGGGAAAAGTTTTTTTAGTTATTCACAAATAAAATTTTATTTCTTTCATTACTTGTTTGCCTGAATTTTCGAGGTAATTGGACTATTTTGTCCGCCTGAAGGAGAAGGAAGCCTTCGAAATTGGTGGCTCAATCTTGAGATTTGGTGAAGAATTAACAATAATATGGCTTGCCGATTAAAAACACCATCGATAAATAATATGATATAATATAATAATAATAAAAAAAGAAACAACAAAATCGATTCAATAGTTCCCGATAAAATCTTGGCAAAGACAGACAGACCAATGGCTAAAAATGTGTTTTTCGCAGTCAGGAGGCTCTGAAACTTATAGATCCGTCGAAAACCGCATATAGGAAATTTGACCCGATCGCAATACTTTCCTTACCTATATATAGTATAAGTAGGAAAGTAAAAAAAGGAAAGTATAAGACTTCCAAACTTTGGTATTTGTAAGTCGATAGCTCGAAATGTAGCTCGTAGGTGCCGTGGTTGCCATGGAATTATCACGTGTATTTTTTTTAGGCCTTTAAAAATTAATTTTTTTTATTTATTTTTTTTTATTATTATTTTTTTTTCCTACGCCTAAGTAACGCCTGCTTCGTTAGCCATGCGTGCTCTTGCAGTCCAATACAATTTTGCTCTCCCAGCATAATAGCTGTCCATTTCATTAAAGCAACATCTTATGTCCTGTAATGCAGGGCATGTATCCAGATGTTCTCCTGTCATTATGTCTAAGGAACATAGAGGGCATGTCGGGCTAAATTAAAATATATTGGAAACGAAGGTTTTACAATATAATCCTAAGGCATATAGAATAATACATTTTTTTTTTTTTTTAATTTTCTTTATCTATCATTTTCGGTTTATATCAATTTAAAATTTAAAAATGGGCATAGTGAAATTTCTAATCCTTTGTCAACTTGTTTGGAGAAATTATATACAATCGATTTAAAAAAAAAAATCTGAATTTACCGAAAATAACGTCTCTGGTCTGGAAAACAGGTTTCTATTTACTATCGCCGGCCATAAAAACTTTCACTAAGGATTTAAAGAGGACCATGGATGGCGTACAATTGACTTCAACCGACCAAAACAGGACAATACTACTTGGCGGGCGGCCAGGGAATACTGTATACTAGCTACAAATCTTTATCTGGCGACTGAGTCTGTACAGAGTACAGGTACGAATTCCGTCTGGGCAGATTAAAATTTATCTCCTGGTCAATCTATGTAATAGATTTCGATCTTTCCACTCTGGTTAGAATATTTAGAATAGAATATTGGCTATTTGTAGGATAACTGCCCAGTGACCCAGAAATGGTCAGGTGGTAAAATAAATATATATATATAAAATACAAATACAAATTTTTTTCATTTGATTTTCCAAAGCTATTCTTTGGGATGTTACTGGTTCTTTTTCATATTACTATCCAATATGGAGTAAAAAGTGTTCACCTACTTTACTTTTTAAATTCCTTTCGGCTAAACCATTCAATATACAGGCAGGTCTACGGAGGGGGGGGGAGGGGAATTTCAGGCTGAAGCCTTCCTCCCCCAAAATTGTAAAACGTAACTATGTTTTATGAAAACAATTATTTTTTTAAAGTATTATTGCTCGTGTAATTACATTTAATAGGACTTCAAGAATCATTTAATTTACCATTTCATATATGTAGTTAGTATCTTTCTTTTTTTTCTAAGTGATTTTCGTTATATATCCTCCAAAGCAAAAAGTTTCGCTGCCTTCGGTGATGAGAAAGCGGAAAATTACTAATAAACTTAAATAGAAAATTTCCCACATCCGCTTAATCCACAAATTTCCCGTGATTATTTTTAATAATATATTTTTTTTTAAACTTATTTATTGAAAATATTACAATCTGTCTCAAGGACATTTATAATAGTGTTCAAAGATCACATTCACACTCTATATACAATCAATAAAATAAATCATACAGAAAAATAATATATATACAATAAATAAGAATAAAATAACCTAAAAATAAATAAATAAAAAGAACACATACATACCTATATACAATATTTACAATCTGGCGAAAGAATTCCGAACCAGACTTGTCCCTCCAACTGCTGAGGGAAAAGCATGACTCCAGGAGATCCCTGCACTTCTCTCTCAACCGCGTCACTGAGGCTAAACCCAGTGGATATTGAGCAAGAGTGCTAATAATATTATATTATTATTATTACTAAACACCAACGGCTCCCAGCCCACATTACGAATCTCACATAAAAATTCCAATCTTGTTTTTAAGTTCAAATCCATTTATTAATTCTTTAATTCAATACAAACCATGTAAAAGTGAAATATTTAAATACAATTATAACCTAACTATAAATAAAGTGAAAAATTGAATATCAGTCCAAATCGTTATCGCATATTCTTATTGATTTTATTTGATCACACTCGGAACAGTGCCTATGGAAGACTAAATGAAAAACCGAGTAGCAGAAAGAAATATATGATTGGGAATTCAACCTTTCATTTCATTCTTTTAATCCATCCTTTCTATCATGGTTTTAACCGTATGTATCTATCTATATTTTTATTAAAATGAAATGTGATATTTCGGTTTTCAAACGGAATATTATATTATACATTATATAAAAAAATACTTTGGTATTATTTTTATTCTTAAATCCTACTGACTCAGATAGCAGTATTTATTATACGTCTACTTTAAATATATGCGGCTTTGGTGAAGGAGCTCTGGGTAATTCGCCGTTCGTAAGCGACACCTGGCTCGGTGTTCATTATGCCACGGCCTCCACAATAGGATAAAATTTCTTATGGAAGGAGGGTCACCCCGATATTTCCATATGAAGGAGATCCCTTCGCCTTAATCCGGCGGGGCCCCCCGCAAAATTAAAATCTCATATATCTTCCCCCATCGCGGTTTGGGGGAGGGTATGCCACAAAATATCTTAGTCTGAGCCTTGATTAAACTTGCGAGAAGATAAGTTGGTGAGGAAGTGGCTCGTGGCCCAACTTATCTAAGGAATCGATGGTGACTTTAATCACTATTTATGTATTTTTATTTTGGTACATGACACTATCATCAAGCCACAAAATCAAGTCAATCGTATATTTAAAAAAACAATAAACGTTTTATGTTTACATGTTTTGAGTTAAAAGTGGATTCGTGATTAAAGACTTGTAGTCCGTTGTACAGACTCCTTTTTATAAAATTATTAACATCCACCTGAAACTACGTGAATAGCTTCATCTAATACGTATATACCCATTTGCTTTCCACTTGTATCATAAGATAATTTGACCAAAAAATCGAGAAAAAGGGTGGCTTACAAAAATATTGGACCATTTGGCCTATATAACCTTGTTATTTTGACATTTTGGTGGTGTAAGTCACGCCAAAGGGCTCAATATTTTTTAAGGCCATCTTTTTTCTCTGGTTTGTGCTCAAATTATCTTTAGATTCCAGTGGAAAGCAAATGGGTATGTTGCTTGCTGTCGGTTTTGGTTTGTTGCGCCTCAAGAGCCTGTATTCCGGAGTATAGCCAATTAGGGAAATGATAAAATAATTTATATGTAAGATAAGCATAAAGCTAGAAAAGAGACATAAGGTGATTACGTAGTAAATGGAAAAATCCAAACAAAAGATCTCCAACTTACAGTAAAATAGTTAACTTGCCAACGTTTCGCCAATTCAGGCATCATCAGGGCAACAAACCAATATCACACATATGAAGAAAAAATAAATAAATTATGTATTTATAATTAATAAAATTTAGGCACATATAACAAATATTTTTGAAATTTTAATTATTGGATAATTAAATGTATACCATGCCGTACTATTCCGGCGAGGTTATTTAAGACGATGAAGAAGTTGGAGCTGGTAGAACCAAGGTTAATGGAATAGTACTGTTCAGCTGTCTCTAGTTTCATTCTTTTTTCCGCACAACACGCAACCATTTCCTCTAATGTCAAAGAACATAAAGGAATATCCTATCCCCTCCAATCTATCCCTTCAACCCAAATGTAGCAATTATTTAATTCAAGGAATGGGGGTATAGTTCCCTATTTAAATAAAATCTTGTTTATATCATTATGAACAAAATAAATTAATACATTTACTGACTACTTTTCATCTCTTTAATTCTTTATTTCTATTACTTTCACTTATCTATATATGTAATATGTAGTAAGTGTAAGTATTGCGATCGTGAAATTTTGAAATTTGTCTTACAATCCAAAATCAACTGATCGAACAATCCATAATCAACGATTCGTACAATCTATAATCAACCGATGATATAATAAATAGGACTTTAGTTATTTTAATAGTATTTGTGATTTGTTAGCTGCCATCTTTTAGCTTTAGCTCAGTTAAAAATGCAATTCAAAAATTTTGTAGTAGCCCAACATGGCCAGAAAATAGTTTCTATTCAAATTTGAGCAAAGTTTAAAGAATAAGTGAAAGTTGTGTGTTGCGCGCACCAGATTTTTTTTTCAAGTAGAGTGTCAGTATATTTTACTATTTATTTTTCTTCTTTTTTATTATAATAAACTGCTCAAAAATTAATAGAGATATTTCTATTTGATTCCTTTTAATTAAAACATTTTATTGAACGTAAAAAGTAAACAAGTATTCATTCTTTTTATTAGATAATTAACTAAAGGATAGTCAACATGAAAAATACTCATTGTACAATCCGACAGTTGTTTTATCGCTTGTTTTATTTTGTTTTATTGGTGAACGTAAAAAGTAAAAAAGTATTCATTGTTTTTAATAGATTATTAACTAAAAGATAGTCAAAATGAAAAATACTCATTGTACAATCCGACAGTTGTTTTCGATTTTTCTAAATTTTAATTCAGTAATATTCTGTTTAACGATAGAAAGACATCATCTTGAGCCAGAAGTTCAGAATATTGAAGAAAATGGACGGTCAATGGCAGCGGCAAGAATATCGCCTATACAATTGCCGTTTCCCGAGTGATTGATTGTGGTCTCCTGAGCTTTAAGCAGATTCATGAAAGCCGAAAATACGGATTGAAAACCTGTTAATGGATCTCAGCACACTACTGCACCAAGGGGTAACAGAAATATTGTTGTTACTGCAAGAAGTAATCCTTTTCGTAGTGCCTGAGAGAGCCTAAATGAAATTTTAAATGTTTTTCCAAGGTCTAAATCAACTGAGAACGTTTATGAGAAGTTGATTAAAATTGTTTCCCCTTTAAGACGATCTGCAGCAGTCCATCTGATTATGGTGCAACGAGTGCCTACATGAATATACAAATTGGAATGCTCTCATGTTAATAGGCGACTTGCGTTTCTGTACTGATAGCAAACGCAGGCTTCGAATAATCTTCCGTAAACAGAGAATGGGCACGCTGCCAGAATTTGTGGTATGGTGCTGATGGTATAGGCCGGCATCTACTCTGGAGAATGGACTCTGTTCCATAATGTGGAAAATAATTTCATTGCAGTTCATAATGTTCAAGAAATTATAGACGAGCACATTCCTCAAACCAGAGCCATAATTGGCCCAGATGTCCATTTTCTTGACAACAATACACGACCTCATAGGAGAAATGTTGTGAATCAATGTCTTGAAAATCTGGACATTTCACATCTACCCCATCCCACATTGTCTCCGAATCTGAATCCCATTGAGCACATATGGGATGTATTGCAGAGAAAGTTTTTTTACCCATCGCCTGCAGCTTCTTAACCTTCAGCTACTGTGAGCAGTATTACCACAGTTATAGTATGAAATTCTTTGTGAAATCACATTATAAATAGTATGGCCAATAGGTGCAGAAAAGTAGTAGTGACAGAGGATATTACAAAACTATTAAATTTGACAAATGTCTTTCAATTCGCAATAATAAAGACAAGATCACAAAAACTTTTAATTTTATAATATTTTTAAAAAACCTTTTATAAAATTTTATGAGGGCAAATACAATCTTCTTTATATTAATTTTCAATGTATTTTATAATAAAAATAAAATAAAATCTTTCATAACTAAGAATATCCCTATTCATTTTCGATTAGTAAGTTAAATGAAATGAAAATTAATTTTCAACCTTATAATGAATCAATAAATATAATAACTTCTGTGTACTTTACTAAAAAAAAATTTACTATTAAAAAATTACTTAAATAAAATAATGGCCTTTCAAATTACAATTGACGTTGCCCACGGGCGGATCTACGGGGGAGGGGGCTTTCGGGCTGAAGCCCCCCCCAAAATGGTAAAATATAACCATGTTTTATCGAAAAAAAAATTAAAAAATTATCTCTTAAAGTATTATTGTTCGTGTGATTAATATTAAAAGGGCTTTAGGAATCACTTAAACACCATTTCATACAGGTAGTTAGTTTCTTTCTTTTCTTCCAAATTAATTATCGTTATTTTTGTGGAAAAAAAAGCTTTCGGGCTGAAGCCCCCCCCCCAAAAAAAATTAAATCCTGGATCCGCTAGTGACGTTGCCGATTCATTACATTTTTTTTTCTATGGCATATCTCCAAGATATTGAAGTCCAAAGTTGAATTTCTAATTATTTTGAAATTCAGAAATGAGACGTCAAGATCTTTCAAATACAATGATTTTGATGTGTTTATGGACATTATATTGAGACACTTTAATTAAAACCGTCTGCAATGTTGATTTATACTTAGTAATAACGGGAGACATTTGATAGTTCTTCTATTAACAATAATTGCGTTACAGATGTACATTTGTTTAAAACTTTTCCACATCTTGAAAACGAATTAAATTAAGGAAATATCTAATTATATTTATAAATTTCATCTTTACATGCCATATTCTTATCTTTGTTGTTGTGGTTATAAAAATACCATAAAGATAAAATTAATTCCGTATGTGGTTGATTCGGTAACCATCACGCTAATGTAAACAAATTAAATGGTGGGTTTTTTAAGATTATGCAGCATGTGTGACTAAGACTGCCTAAACATTAGATAAAAAAATGAACTACTTTATATTCCATGGAGCGAATGAATGGAAGAAATATTTGTGTAGATTCGACCATGATTGTTATCAACGAAGATCCATTTACCATGTCCCAAACATCTTAATTAGCTGCAAAAAATCTTGGAGGTTTCAAAACTTGAGCGGTGAAATAAATCCTATCCAATAAGCTTCACCCTTCGATGTAAAACGTACCAACTGTCACAATTCTGAATAGTTGGTCGTAGTGCCTTCTGGCGCAAAAAAGAAAGTGTGATATACTGTTTTATAACAATATATGTGTATATATATATATATATATATCCTGTAACAAGATGTGTCCTCTAACGATTTTAATTCACTGTGTCTGTTAACACGTACTGCAAAGTTGCGTGTAATGAGAAAAAAATCCTTGACGCCTCAACCACACGATTTGGTCAAGAATGCATTTCTTTAAATGCACAATTATGATTTGAAGCAGGTCAAACCTTAACTAAACCTTTAATGTAGTGTTAGAATAATAAATTTGAGTGAAATAAAGGCATAGAATAGAAATATAATTCAGATATTATAAATGTATGGAATCCTTTTTTGACATTGAGATTAAAGTTGTATCTTTTCCTGCTATGGGATTATTGATCCAACATGAACTTGTCATTATTTTGATACAACTTTCCCTTTACTACCCTTTCTGATTAATAAAAACGATATAATATAATACTATTAAAGCAATGTTAAAGAACAATTAATTGTATGGAAACTTTTTGAGGCAGTGTAAGGACTATATTTTAATTTTCTTCCCTGAGTTCATCATATGCATTATATATTTCTGTTATAACAGGATTTAATTTATAACTTTCTTTATTATATGTTTTAAACATATATTTAGTTTTTCCCAAAATTAAAGGAATAAAATAAATTCCATCAAATCACTATCAATAAGACTTCCTTTCCAAAAGTATTCTTTAATAACACTCCACTTATCCTTGTTGAACAGATCCCCTACCTAGGACTCCATCTGAAAATTAGTCTTACTTAGAATCCTCCTGCGAGACTGAAACCGTAAGACATTTCCGACTACTTCAACACTTACAAATGCACTAAGCATCATGCAATTAAATTCCAAAGTATCATTTACGACACTATAATAAGGCCTACTTGAACTTATTGAGTTGGGTTTTGAGGATCTATTAAACTATGAGATTCCTCTTGTATCCCATCCACACAGTCCAAAATCCTCAATAGTGCTTACTTTGCTACAAATTAAAATATCAACAATGATCTTAATGTTCCATATGTTACGGATTTAGACCAATTCACAAATCTATCCTTCCATATTAAACTTGAGGCCCATCCAAATCCAGTAGTGTCTAGCCTTTTATCATCTTCGATTCCTTAAAATCTTCCGTTTTAATTTTCAGATGTTTAATACAATTCCATTATTGGATTTCTACCTATGGGTAGTTTCTTTACAAGTCTGTCCATACCAATTCACATTTACTTGCTGTATTTTTAGTTAACAGTTGTATATTGAAATAAGAGAGCGCGGTAGCTCAATGGTAGGGCACTAAGCTTCCAATGCTCATAGCCCTGCAGCCAGGGCCCAAAAATCGAGCTGATCGCAGCCGAAGGTTTGATTGTAAATTACATGTTATTCTGAGTAAAAAGAACATTGTCTGCCGTTCCAGAGCCGCTCCTTAAAAAAATGGCGGCTGATTTAAAGAATATTAGGCCAATAATTTGAGGACCGAAACGGGAAATCCATTGCGAAAAATGTGAGAAAAGTTTTTATTGTTTTAACTTCTATATATGGGTTTAGACATGTATAAAACAAAATTGCTAACGCGGCCATGGGAAACCTTTTGGCAGCCAAAAAATAAGAATAGACCCTAAATAGAATAGACACCCTTACTGTCGAAGTATTGAAAATCACGTTTACCTTCATTATTAATTTCTAACCATCGGGAGATTACCGATTTTGTTCGCAGCAAGTGACCTACATTAAATTAGTTGGTACGCAGTTGACGCAAATTTGATGCTATACAACTTTGATTATATGGATTTTTCCTCTGAGGGAACTCATTTCCAAGTTACAGGGCCATTTATAGTAATTTGTCTCAGTTTTTGACAAATTTGATTAAAATAAACGTTCGTTGACCATGGTTTTATGCCTTACCACGTTACCAAATTACAAAGTTTATGTACTCGTTTGACGCAAAATTCAACGTTCTTTAATTTATTAAAGAGTACATTTTGATGCATAGTTTAGGAGTTATAGGTGAAAGAAACAAAAAACATCGAAAAAATCTGACTTTTTTGTCTGCAAAAAGTTTTCCCAAGGTAGACCGCGTTAGCAATTTTCTTTTGTACATGTCTAAACCCATATATACAAGTTAAAAAAATTAAAACTTTTCTCACATTTTCCGCAATGGATTTTCCGTTTCGGTCCTCAAATTTTTGTGCCTAATATTCTTTAAATCAGCCGCCATTTTTTTAAGCTGCAGCTCTGGAACGGCAGACAATGTTCTTTTTACTCAGAATAACATACACTTTCGTAATTTATAATCAAACCTTCGCCTGCGATTTTTGGGCCCTGGCTCAAAGGCTATCAAGGTCCCAGGTTCGAATCCCGGCTCATGGCAGACAATTTATTTATTCTGTTTCATTGGCCATGGAACTGACCCTGATGGAATTGACCCTGGAGTACGGAGACCCTCCTGGGGACACTAGGCCTCTACAAAGTGGGTATCCTTAATTATATAATTAATTAAGGGGGAAAATTTGGCGGTTGAGCGTGATTCTGACCTGATCTCCTCCGTGCACAACCATTGGCCTTGAAACAGTACTTTCCCTAAATAATACTGAACCCAAGACCCTTTAAGAGTTGTAGTGGTACAGGTTAAAGGTTACATTGAAATAAATTTGACTTTATAAATAATATGTAATGATAACCATCAGCAGATTTTATTCCTAAACCTAAAACTAAAATTAAGTATGCTTTGTATATGTTATGATGATTAGTCATAGAATTGCTTCGAGAAATGTTATAAGAATATAAATATTATAGAAATGTTAAAGGACAATATTAATACTTTTTTAACCTCTGCCACAGGAGAGCTGCAATGGATCAAGCAGCTGACCAACCTGAGCAGGCAGGAGGGGGACGCGGTGAAGATGCGGTGCGAAGTGAGCGGCTGGCCCGGGCCGCTGACGCTGCGGTGGCTGCGGAACGAGGTGCCGCTGGAGGCCGGACTGCCGCCCGCAGGGAGGAGGCGGCTGGCAGTCAAGACCACCGTCTCCGGGGACCGACTCATGTCCCGCCTCAGGCTCTCCAGGCTGGAGGTCCACGACTCCGGGTTCTACTCCTGCCAGGCCCGCAACGGCCTCGGCTTCGTCTCCGCCACCACCGGCATCCTCAGGGTCCGGATGTCGCCTGGTTGGGGTAAGTGTACTTGTAGCTCATTGATTGGCACTGCCCTCTAAAGGTTCAAGTCTGTATTACATGGACTTTTGTTGTTTTCAATTTGGATATCTTTCAACCAAAAATGTTACTAGTCCGTAGCACGGACCCCTTTTTTTTCAAATTATTAACATTCGCCTAAAAATTCGTAAATAGCTTCATCACATCATAACCTAGAAATATTTTATTTACAAAAATTCTCGGCATTGGTGAGTTTTTGAGCTGGAGATTTGTCTGTTTAATTAAGTATTAAAAACTCATGAATACCCATTCACTTACCACTCGAATCGGGAAAAAAGGCCTTCAAAAATATTGGACCGTTTGGCCTAAATAACCTTGTTATTTTTGACATTTTGGGAATGGAAGTCACGCCAGACGGCTCAATATTTTTGAAGGCCATCTTTGTTTCCGATGTTGTGATCATATTATCTTACGATTCAAGTATAAAGCAAATAAGTATTCGCGAGTTTTTAGTACCTGATTAAATAGACGAAGTTTCAATCTCGCCAAAATTTTTAGAATTATCTTAAATTAAATATTTGCAGGTTACGATGAGATAAAGCTATTTACGAAGTTTTAGCCGGATGTTTATAATTTGTTAAAAAAGGGTGCCATAGACTAAACATTGTTAATGGTATAAGTTCTTTTCCGTAGGTAATATTTGTCATTCTTGAATGGTAGATTTAAAAATTTTTTTAAGCTTCATGGCCGTAGCTCAGAGCTCAGTACCTGTGTTAGATTGAAGAATAATAGGTGCTATTTTCGACTTCAAAAACCCATCAAAACCAAATATCTTTCGCGAACAAAAAAACAGCGCTTGTATAAGTCATTAATTAATAAGACCGCAGAAGAAGAAGCAGATTGGCTCGGTATGTTGGACTACATTAGGAACCATTGAGCAGGCATTAATAAGATCGGAAGCCAGATCCGGGTCCCTCAATCTGTGTTAACGAAGAATGAAGACAAAGGACAAATGGAGAACTACAGGATCTGTTCCCTTTAGCATCTTTCTTCTTTTTTTTAGAGTAGTTATCGTTGTATAAATGAAAATAAAAAGCTTTCGGGCTGAAGCCCCCTTCCTCCATATATTAAATCCTGAACCCGCTAGTGGGAAGACCTAAACTGTGTTGCTCTAATGATTTGTGAGCTGACGCAAGATCCATCCTTCGTATTTGAGACTGTAAATCAACTGCTCAAAACAAAAGTGACTGGCGCCTGACGTTACAGGGGACATTGACCCCATGTGAGTTGCAGCGCCAAAATAAAAATTATGATGATGATAGACAGAGTCGTATGACCGATATGTATACTGGCCAAGATAATTTCTTTGCACCGATTTCTTCTTTCGGCAGTTGTCCAAAAAGTGAGGCCTGGCTTTTATTTTAAGAGTTCTGAAACTATCAAATGATATATATACTGGTGTTTTGTTATCAAGATGATAGCTCCTTCATACTGAATAAAGTTATCCAGCATAGGAATATACTATTTGATTCTGGAAGAATGATTTTTAGGCGGATGACTATTGCGCAACGAATTTTATTTAGAATAATCTGTAAACTACTAACAGTTGTTAGAATATAGCTCTTCACGTACTTTGTAAATTTGTCAAAATTCATACTTTATTATTTTTATTAAATATGTAAATATATAATCTTTTACCAAATTAGAAATTAATTTGTACAAATCAAAACTCCAGACAATAATTCCAAAACTACTAAGGAAAGTCTTAAAATAATAAGCATAAACTGATCCATGAATAAAATAAATGTACTTGTTGCATTATTACCGTGGTATATATTATAGCTACTGCCTATCCTTTTAAAACTTGACCCAATGAAACTCACCAAAATGTTTCATTGGGAACATACGGGTAGGACAAAACATTGTTTTTTTCGAAGGAGGGAGGAATTCTCCCGATTACGAAATTTGTTATTAATATAGTATTTTTTTTTTTTTTTGCATTTAGCATCCCAAAATACACGAACCATAATAAATACATACAGGCTGTAATCTTTGATATCTGTTATTTCCATATGAATTTAACCTCAAATCAATAACATATTTGCGCCTCATGTGAAAACTGGTAATTCAATTCAATAGAGAAAATATAAGAATGTATTGAAAAAACAAAGAAGTAGACAATTATTCATATAATCAAGGTTAATACTTTCAATTTTAACTTTTAACGGTATCCTTCACTTCTTATTTTGTTTCCTCACCACAGATGAACTAGCTTTGTGTTCTTGTGAAAGGTTAAAAAAAAAAATTGTACATATAATCTAATATTTTCATTCGTATTATACTTTTTGGACATGAAGTTATATTTCGATTTGATCTATTTTTCTTTAATGAGTAATCACCATCTCGGGAATTATATTAAATTGTTTTCTCTGATAAAGATTAAAGTTGAACGTTGAATTTCTATTAGATTGTTTTTCATCATCATATTGAGTCCACTATTTTTAACTTGCAAAATCTTACTCTACATTCTTCATTACCGAACATAATGAAAATTTAAAAGCTTTTTGTTTTTCAGAACCACTCAAATTCATCTATCACTCTCAAAAGTAAATATCTTCAACTTTTATTTGGTACTTAAACATATTTTTGGTCAAGTACAATTTTGGATAGAATAGTGGAAAGATTTGATATATGATCAACAGCATCATGAAGCAACAAGGAATTCTATGATATTTTAATCTTCTTCTGTCATATCTAGAAAGAAATTGGTCTGATAAAAATCAGCAAATTACCGAGTCTCTTTAAATATTTATTTTTTCTTATTAGTTTTTTTTATTTTATAGGTAAATAAATTTAGGAAATCACTGGTTTTTAAAAATTGAAATTACATTATTTAATTTCGGTAAATTATTTGATGATCATGAAATTTTCACGGACTGTTCAAAATCAGAGAAAGGTGTTGGATGCTGTATCGTAACCCAAAACAATACAAACAAATGGAAATTAAATAACCATAATTCTATTTTCACAAGCAAAACGTGGGCGATCCTCAAGGCATTTGAATACATAATCAACACCAATATTGAGAAATCAGTCATTGTGACCGATTCCTTGTCTGTAATCAAGGAACTGCAAAATATATGGGCATGTAACACATTGCATAAACAAATTCAACTTATGAACTTGAAATTAGTTAAAAACAGTCAAGACATATTATTGTTTTTGGTACCCTCACACACTGGCGTAATTGGCAATGAACCAGGCGATGAGGGAGCAAAGGAAGCCGTCAGAAGAACAGATTCACCTGTTTTAGAATCGATGTTTCTCAACGAATGGACAAGAGAAATTATACGAAGAAGGTGAACGACAATTGGAATGCACAGTTGAGATTACTGCCACTCAATCACCTTCATCTGACAAAAGACGAAAATCGAGCTTGGTATCCTCCAAAACACCGTACTTCAAAATTATATTCTATAATAAGCAGGCTCGGAATTGGACCAAACTGACCCATCTCCACTCACTTCTTGGCCTACATCGACCAACATGTGAAGCATGTGGAAGTGCTAATCTGACCGTTGAACACATATCCCAGTGTGAAAATTTCCGTCGAAACAGCAAATCGAACTCCAAATTGATGACAAAGCACCGTAAAAAGAAAACAGTGGTATAGAAAAAACGCTGAAGTACATTTGACAAATAAAATTAATAAGTTATATTTAAGGAGAAAGGTCGTCACTAACGCTGGCAGTCGATGCAACGTTAAAAAACAGCAAATAAAAAAAATTTATAACTATCATTTCAATTATAATTTGCCAACTATTTACAACTTTTGATTATTATTTTTTTAAATAACATTGAAATTATTATTAATTTTTTTAAATATTTTATATTAATAATATGTTTAAAAAAAACGTCTGTCATAAGCAAATCAGCAATTCATTGCTATATGCATGAGACTTGTCACAAATGACGCTATTAGCTGCTACGTGTTAAGAGAGGAAGTTTATTTACAGTAGTCCTAACGTTGCATGTGTTGCAAAAACAACACTTACATAACACAAATCTTCCGCTGAGAAATTACATTCAGGGTGTGTTTAGAGTTGAAGCGGCACAAGTGAATCACATGTTCTATTATCTCTGTCAGGCACCCAACCGTGAATTCAGGATATGTAAGGGCGAGGTGCAATGGCGAATCCAGAGAGGGTAGAAAGTAGAAAACACTGGTTGGTTTTTCGGAAAACAAATTCTTCCGATTTGACAATTTCGCTTTAAAAATTTTGAATGTATTTTTGGAACAAAATATGTACTGCCAATGATATAATGATATGGCTCCATAATTTCTTGAACGTAACGAACTACAATGATGGTTATCTTCCACAATATAGAGTAGAATCCGTCTTCCTGAGTAGATTACACCTCTAGGCTGCATTGGAGGAAGCACCAACAATGGCAGTGTACTCATACTCTGTTCTCGGTAAAGTCTTCGTGCCTACGATCACTGTAAATACATAATCAAGACTTGTCTGTGAACATGACGGCATTCCATTTTGCGTCCTTTTCTCGGCGTATTTTTTTTTTTTTTTTTTTTTTTTTTTTTATTCTATCGTTCCCTACCTCGCCTTTTAGGCTATACGAGATTTTCACTTTTCACGAGTTGGAAGGTGAGGGTGAAGAATTTAAAAAAACCTTCTGGCACCGGGACGCGAACTCGTACTTTTTTAATATCATAACTTCGGTTATCTGGTTGCCGGAAAACTCGCGGTGCTGTGCACACGCGTTAGCCCATTCGGCCACCCCGTTCCCTTTCATCTGGACGCTTTTTTTTTTTCTTTTTTTTTTTTAATGTCCTCCCCTTCCTCGCCTTTAAAGCTATACGTGTTTTTTCCGGGCCAGAGGGTGTGGACCGTGATTTTAAATGACTTCTCCGGCACCGGGACGCGAACTCGTGACTATTTTTATAACTTTTTCTCATATATCAGGTTGCCGAGCAGCGGTGGTGCACACGCATTAGCCCATTCGGCC